AATAACTTATGTAAAACTGAGTTAGAGAACACTCTGCTAAAAGCAGAGAAAAAAAGTGCTGAAAACTATTTTAAAAGGACTCTAATTCTATCAAGGTGAATATATCGAGGAAGTATAGTTTTACTGGAAGGGCAAAATTCAAGCAAAACAGCACACACAAGAAGACATTTAGGGAGCGCCGCAAGCAGATCGCAGCGATTCAAGGGATCCGAGGGATGAGGGGCAAAAAATTCGCATTATAAACAATTTGCAGAGCCGAAATTATCCAGTCATAAATTGGAAGTTCATCTGCAGCATTGAGATAAGTGAGTTCAACGACCGAGAAACACTGGCCACCTGACGCTAAGCCCATCAATCCGATCATCGCTGCCACCTTCTGTTCGAAAAAAGATAGAATTACGAAATCAAAAAAATCTTCCAAGAACATGTAGTAGCAAAATAATAATTGCGCCCGTTTCATCTATTACAACTAAGCCAAACGATGCTAGCCTTCTTTCGAAACTGCTGCTCTACTTCACAATTACCTCAAAACTTCTGGCTTTCGTTTGCTTCATTGCACGTAAAGCAGCGCCATTTGATGCCTATTAAGTTCACAGCTTACAGCCAGGAAATGAAACACAGACCGCTTACATCTTCCACGTGGTGGAAGCACACGCAGGTAAGCGGTCTGTGTTTCGTTTCTTAGCCATAAGTTGTGAAATTAAACGTTTTTCCACTCCATGTTTGTTGTCTTACCTTCTAATGCCCGCATATCACAGTTGGTACAAGCTATTTGATGGAACTAGCGACTAGGTTTCGTCATTTATAATTCAGTAGGTTTCGTTATTTATAATTCAGAAGAAAATTCTTAGTGATAAAAATAAGGCCATAAATCCCAAGAATATGATGTTCACACGGTTTTTAGAGTTTCGAGACATAAACAGTAATAAAATTCGATTAAAAAAATTTTTTCTTGAATTTTACAAATAGCTGTGCTTTGGAAATTTAAACAGCAAGTGAATTTTTTAGGCTTTTTCGTTTGATGTCCGGACTTTCAAAGTGCAAAAGTTAATTTCATGAGCCTGCACTCCTTGACAATTTGGGCTTTGAAGACAAAATTATCAAGAAAAATTAACGAAAATTTCTAATTGCACTAAATCGTTGTGTCATTCTGCTTGAAATAAATAATGACGTTATGTGGTTCAAAGTCACTTTCCAAATTTTGGTTTTTTTCTGGTGAGCCGTGCACTGAAATTAAACGATTTTAAAAAACTCACAATGCAAAATGTGTATGAAACAATCAGGAACAAAAAATGCTCGACTACTTTTTAGTGTTTTTCAGCGGATAATTTCCTAGAATTTGCCGTGTTTTGTCTAAACTTCAAAGCAAACAGTGAATATTCTTTTCCTTTCGAAAAATTTGGGACCAATCTTAACACTTCGTTAAATCATGGACTTTGTTATCCGAGGGTTGGGTGGTCGCATCTTGACCGATATAGGCATGAATGATCCTCTTTCTCGAAAACTGCTCTACAAAAAACAATGAAGATAATGCCTAAGGATCAGGCA